CATGACGTCAGCCATCGGCACAGCTGAACTAACAACTCTCTTTAATCTGCAGAAGCTACAGAATGAGATGAGGTGAGAAGCCGATAATAAATGAGAAGGTATAGTCGTGGCCTGTTTCAAGACTTTGTTTTAACATTCATTTGGGCGTTAACAGCACAGCGGGGTCGATTCAGTGATCAGCGGTTGCGCAACATTGCGCCACAGTACTAGTGACCGAAGAATGTACTCATAACTTTGGGAATTGCTGTACAAGAGAAAAGGTTTATTGTTTTGATCTTTCATACTGTTAAGGAAGTGAACACCTCTTTTACATGGACACCACTGATTAGTTATAAGGGGAGAACCAATTTCTAAATATAACTTTCATCTCTAGATCTTGTACAACCTGTTTCGATTCTCCCCTGAGCTGTTTCGTGACACAGCCGCTCTCATTATTAGCCCGCAGTGCCAACACAGCCGCTGACACCTTGTATATTAAGAGCCACTGACGAGAGACGGATAAACTTAAATTCAAAATAACTAATGTCTCCACGAATTCGAGACTCTGTTCATATCGTATGCGTTCTCTGTTTGTCCGCGATGCGTGCTTCTTTGTGGGCTATTTGCTAATGTCGAAAAACTGAACAAACAGACAATCTCATCCTCCTTGAGTTGTTAATCCTAACAATATTTGGTGAAGAGTACAGAATATGAAGCTCGGTATATGCAACTTCCTCCAGCCTCCTGTCAGTTCATCTCTCTCAGGTCTACATATTCTCACATAAACCTTTTCTCTAATCACTGGGTTTTGTTTACTTTGGGCGAAATATATAGTTTCAACTAAAAATAAATGCAGAACAAAAATTATAATGGCACCAGAGAAATGAATTCTTTTTTAATTGTATTTAAGCTTAAACAGTATGACGCAGTATCGCTTCATTTTATTTAGTAAACGGGGCTAAAACAGATATAGAATAGTATATGATAAACAGTCAATTTCTACAGTCCGAATGCGTTCGTCTTATTCGTTCTGGACACCGATGACTTCAAAAAGAACAGAAAACCGGACTGACCAGTGCCAGGAGACATGCATGCAGCCCAGGTCAGAACATTCCTTCTGGGTTTAGTCCAACACTGCCGTAAATTTGCTTTTCTTCTGTCCAGAAACAAGCCAATGAGTGCAACTGTGTTTATTCTTATTAATTAACACATTATCTGAATCGGTGCGGGCTGAATGACCTAAACTTCAGCAGCTGAAAAAAAGAAAGTAACAGAACGCAACTGCAAATCGATAATGCACTGAGTATTCTGTCCCCCCTGTCTAAGGAGCACCTTGCAATGCCAATTTTCCGAGATCCAACTCCCTATGTTGTAGTTCAAGGCTCCCAAACACCTTCAGCTTTGTAACAAGGCAAACTGGTCTGCAAATAAACAAACTAACAATTGAACAAACTACAGAAACTCATTGCCCAACAACTCTGAGTGAGACTAAATCCAATATTGCCTGATACATGTACGTGCAGTTATTTCAACCGGTAACTGGTAACACATCTTGTAGAGTTGTCTGGATAAAATGAAAGCATAACTGGGAGTTACATATGTCTGTCCACAAACTTAATCTCCGCAACTACTGAACGGAATTATATAAAACTTTATACTGAATACCAGCACTAAAATTTGCCCAAGAATCGAGAACTATATGGAAGGAAGGTGTTGTGGCACAATTATTAAAGCATTACATACGGCACATTTGACAGGAGGGACTGAAGAAAGCCACAGAAAACCTCAGGTACAATAGACTGTCTCTGAACCGACATTTGAACCTGGGACCTCCTGAGCCAGAAACAGGGGTGTTATCCACTCGAAGCGATGTCCGATAAAAGATGGCTGTGGATGACGAGTAGGTAAAGATTTAGGAGGAGACCGTCCTAGCATATTTGAAGGTACTATTCTAATACCGGATTTTACCTGCACTGACTAATAAAAAAGAACGGTAATCGGCAGAGGTTTAAACCGAGAACACTAGCTCCGGAATACAAGCGAAGGGGGCTGTCGCCACGTGCGACTCGTCCGGTGGTCCGCTGTACTCGCCCGGAAGTTCTGAGGAGGGCTACGTGAAACCACGGTCAGGACGACTGAAGCCTCGGCCGAAATTTGAACGCAGCCTACTTCTGGCGCTTATTTGTGTCATGCGGATCGTAACGCATCCTTTAGTACCATTTGTGGAAGATTTCACGGGTCCTCAAATGAGACCAGAATGCTGAGACTTCACCTCGTGCTTGGCTCTGCGCCACAGCAGCGACAGACGTTCCAGATTATACGACGTGGCTCGGAAGAGGGTCAGGCAGTTCAACCAGCGACGGCTTGCTTTCTGTGTCCAGCGTGACAATCACAACGTGTAAACTGTTCCTTTGGACTCTGTCCATCGTCTAAGTTACAAAATCATAGTTGCAACATTACGAAAGCTGGAGTTTGCTTTCGTCATCAGGTAAAAAAAAAAATATGAAGATGACAAAAAACCTATCTGTTTGACTTCCTGATTTTGCTAGCCTCAGACCTGATCCAAAGCTGGTTGTTCTGAATAGGTACAGTTCGTTTCAAACGTGAGAACCCATCTCCCGTATTTGGAACTCCCTACGCAGTGTTTATCAATCAGCCATGTCGAACTGAACTAGGGCGAAGTACGACCGAACGGATACACTACTGTCTGAGCTTGTAAGACTAAGACCTATTTTGTGCTGAATTCATAAAACGTTTGTTAATTATAATCTTAATGTACACTTCTATAATTTATTTGTATATTATTTGCAGATTTTCATCTAATCGTAAACATTTAATGATCACTTTATTAAGTTTAAAGATTTTTGCGAAACACGCCTAGACATTTAGCTAAACGTAGAAATTATTAACCATATATTCATCGAAGATTTCTGTCTTCTGGGTTGTTGCGCTGTGTAGTCTGGTCGATGTTAACCAACGTTTCAGAGGTCATACTGCCTCCGTCATCAGGGCGATGAATGTGATCGCCCTGATGACGGAGGCAGTATGACCTCTGAAACGTTGGTAACCATCGACCAGACTACACAGCCCAACAACCCAGAAGACAGAAATCTTCATACTTTCCGCTGTGAAAACCTCAAATCTTACATATATTCATCGTCTGAACAAAATAATAAAAACTGTAATATCTTGAAATACAGTCGTGAAACCCGGTCCACAGTATTCTCTGGTCAGCTCAAACAATTTATCTGCGGATAGTTTAATCTAATACGGATCGAAGCCACTGACTAAGTGGCCAAGAGCTCTATATCTGATACCATTCAAATTGCTACGTATGGCGCCTGTGTTGCGAAAGAATTAGCCACCAGATCATTCGTTTCATATAACCACATGATTGTCCACAGAAAACGCTGTAACGAGACGTAGACTTGGGCTCCTGGCTGCCCAAGTGCGATCTAGATAAAGTGGCCTCCCTCCAGAACTTGTCCGCACCATTATCGCCTCGCCTTAGTTCAAGCAGAGTATCTCAAAACTCTCCAAGTTGTTATGGACAAGAAAATCACCATTTGTCAAAATATTATTCCAGAGTTTGAGATATATCACACGAGTTCCTGATAAAGTATTTATCATTTCTTGACCTTTCGCTAACTGACCCCAACCGCGTATCCTAGAGTCAGTGAACCTGTACTTGGAGTCAGCACGTTTTATAGTGTATCACAAAATAAAATTTCGTTATGTTGTTGAAAAAAATATAAGTAGGTTGGGTTATATTTTTAACGTCGAAGTCAGATTTCTAAAGCAAGTCGTGGTCGTGAATACATGTAGATAACGCGTACATAATAACAATTTTCAAAATTTTACGCCGGCTGAACGAAACAGATACTAGGCGAACTGAAAGTTGAAAACCCTGGGCTAGCTGATTCGTGTTTTCGAGACCCCCAGTTGGAATTTGGGGCAAGAGGTAAGAAGTGACAGGAAGCTGAAGTAGATTGCACTGTGAAGACCTTCACAATTTCTATTCATAGTGAATCATTATTTGGGTTATCAAATGAAGGATTGTAGGATAAAGAGGGCATATAGCACACATGCGAGAGAAGAGATAAGCACGTGCATTTTAGTCGCATAACCTGAAAGGAAGCACTTACGAGATCTAGGAGTATATTGGGGATAATATTAAAATTGACATTCAAGAAACAGAATATGATAGTGTGCACTGGACTGATGTGACTCACGATACGGACCAGTAGCGATGTCTTATGAACACGCTATCAGTCACGAATCTTTGCATTTCACAAAGGCGGTGAATATTTTCACCGTACCAGCGACTATGAGCTCCTGAAAAAGGCTTGAATGCTCTAACTGGGAATCACGAAAAGTGATTAACACGACCGCAGACATCAACGGAATTGTTGACGTTAGAAATTTAGAAATATAGTACATATCGTTATTAAGAAATCATAAACGTCTGCATAATCTTATGTAAACCTGTATGACAGAAAAACATCAGCGAGAGATATTTGTCTTCATATTTTGGTTTTGAAATGTCTTTTCATAAACTGTGTGGAACAGACTCCTTAACAAGCTAACAGTCCCTCAGCTGGTCAAGAAATTCAACATATTTCATTACAGTATTTGACATACCGCATGATGAACGTGTAAACTCCCTGTCCATCGAGATCTGTATCTGGGGTTTGGAAATGAGGGGCGTATTGTTATGCACGTGCCGCATACAACAACAACAAGAAATTATCATTGATTAGCGATTTATGATTGCACCTGTGATGTAGGGAACCACACAGAGTGTAACACAACTTAACTGATTTTAGTCCAAAAACTGGGACACCCGAGTAAAGCACAAGGAACCCAGGGACGGTCGCCTTGGGTTTCATTTAGACCTTTGAATTTCGTTCTGCGGATTTCCGGAACACGAGACAGGCCGTACTTACTATGCTTTAAATCAATAATGAAGCCAGTATTCTGTCAACTTCTTCACAATAGGTTAATTTAAGATACCAGTGCGTTCCTAATTAAATAATGAGGATGTTGGACTTAGTTTCGTGTCGTTGCGTATAGATGGCAGAGTGTTAGGGGTGGGGCCTCTAGTGGTAGGGGACTGCAAGGCTGTTTAGACGCGTGCTGGCGTAGTACTTTCAGTCGGTGTTGAATAGTTGTCAGGGATTCAGTGGTTAAAGCTTTCTTGCTGATCTTGCTGGCTGTAGCTTGCCGCCACACTGGCTGTTGGGGAACAAACCTGGCCAATCCGGTAAGTACCATGCATTTTTACACCAGATTAACTTGAAAGAAAACAAAAAACAATTTTTTTCCCCAATGTCTATACAACTCAAACGTGGACGAATACCGTCTACTGTTTGTGGTTTGTCTGTTATAGTGAGGGTTGGAGTCAGTCCGTGGAAGCTATTAACGATTCTTAATTTCAGGGTCCCCATAAATTACGTACAGTGGTATTTGTTGATATTACTGTCTTGGTGCCAACGTAAGATATTCATTTGTCTAATTGCTTCTGAGTTTCCAATCGCAGGTCAAAGTTCCTTTCCCCGGCGTAAGCGTGTATTTCTAGAACAGGCTACTTCGCCACGAGTACACCCACCCATCCTCCCGCCAACCCACGGTCATCGTTTCAACTCTTACGTATGCAAAATCGCCGATGAAATTCCATTTAAAATCACTTAAGTTGCAAACCGGTAACAAATGAAATTTATATAATTCCACAATGCAGTTAGGTCTATATGTTAATTTCCGATACAAAATCTCAAGGGAATGTGAATTCCATCTTAATACTATTTGAACCAAAATATCGTCCGTTAAGGGAAATTTACTTCATGTATGCAGAAGTAAAATGTTCCATGCGGACGTAACTACCAAACTTTTATTATTTAGGGCGGATAAAATCAAAATGCTTAGCGCTTCACACTTTCCTACTCCATTTTATAACGCCTTCCCCCTCCACCATGAATGCCTCCGACCCCCAAAGATCACGTCTTTATCAGGCGCCCATGTTGCTGTAGCAACGAAGTGTGCTGGTGACTGTGACTGCAGATAACTTTTATCCCGCGAATGAGAAACACAAGATTGCATTTTTAAACACTAATGACGTGTAAAATGAAACGTTTCTTCCCCCCACCCCCGGGTCGACTTTCAGGGAGGCGCCTGTATAACGAGACAGCCGCTACCCGCACGTCCTCAAGTGTAGGCTACTTATATGCAGGTGCCAGGCGCTCGGCTACGTGTCACATTGTCTCGTGTTACAACAGACCAGAAGCTCTAATAATTGGCCATAATGAGAACAATAGAAGATAAATAGCCATTATTTATAATAAGCTATGAAAAAAACGAAATTAATGTAGAAATAATTTCCAAGTTCCTTCATGTAATCAGAACCGACTTTTGGGGAAAATGGCGACCGCCCAAGGCGCAACAGAACCAAAATATCAACCTTATTTCTGATGAGAAAAAACGACATTCAAGTCTGGAAATTATTGCTGTCATTTGTTTCAGAATATTTTGTCCTCTCGTCTCCTATCTGAAATAGTAAAGATTAATCAGGTTGCGAACTCTTGTGAGTACGGTAATGAACTTTCGAGTTCCACAAAATTGGGGAACTTACTCTCTAGCTGACCATACGATTAGTTTCTCAAGACGAACTGTACGCCATGGATGTAAGTCGCTTCAAATTAAGAAGGATGAGATGGTCAGGACATTAGAGCACTCATGGGAGGTATGAGATGCATACATAATTTTGGTCGGAAAATTTGAAGGAAACAGCAACTTGTAAGACCTAGACTGTGAGGACAACATTAAAATGGGTAGAAATAGGATTAAGGGTGTGGACTGGATTTATCTGACTCAGGTTTGGTAGGGTCCAATGAGGTGAATTATTTAGCAAGGAATTCAAAGGAAAAATTTGTTCTACATTTCCCTGCAGAGGCAATTCGGCCTAGATCAGAACTGGCTAGTTAGCCTCTCGTGATCACAAGTCTGAGTGTTATCGCAACATTTGTCAGCTCGACAGCTATTAGACTGCACAATGTACGTGCGTAACTTAAGCAGAAATTAATAACAGAAATCGTAAAAAGCGATACCTCACTGGCTGACCAGACAGGTACAAACTAAAGGTTCGTCTGTCGTTGCCTCGCTTCACAAACAGAAAAAGCTAACACGAAAATTGACACAGTAAATATTTCGACACGAAACTTTTTTTTGGTAATGTCTTATTTGTTCCTATATAAATATATTTTTTCCTATTTGTTTCGTGAACACTTTTTATTATGTTTCTATGCAACATGGCGGATGGCCTATTATAATAATTAGGTGGCGTTTGGAGGAGAGGAGTGCTGCTTCACCTGACGTTGGTCCCGTACACATCTTGAGTTCTTATAAGAAGTTAATTATGTATTTCATTTACTGGATACTCTGTAAAAGTGGCACTACCAATAAGAAAATCTTGTTCGAGAAGAATATGACAGTCGACATGTGTGGCACTTGAACTCTGACCTTCCAAATACAAATTCAGTAAGACGTCATCAACATCCATTTGTTATAAATAAGACGATCATATTTGCTGACCAAAACTGTAAAAGACCAGATATTTCTTTACAAGTTGAACTATTATCAGGTTATGTAGAATGACTGTGCTGCTCTACAGTTAATTACAAAACATTTATGCCTGGAAACTTCCTCTGATAACTGCGCGCAAGGTTATCCTTTGCTTTGTAGCCTATGTCGTGACATCATTTCGGAAGTTCAGTTTGAAGTGGCATTTTGAAAATGAAACATAAGCACGTCGTTAAGGTGGGTGGCGACGTTGTCTAATTTCATACCATTAACCACCTAACAAGAAATTAATTATTTTACTATTACCTATATTTAAGTTGTTGCTTTAAAAATCACTTCCTTTTACGTTATCAAATTGTAGTAACAAAATCGAATTTTATAAAATATGACCCTTAGATCTTAGGTAAGCAAGTTCATAGAACTGATTTACTGTAGGTTTTAAACGATGAAACCGATTTATTGATATATTCTTAAATCACGCTGTTCATGGTATCATAAAGTTTGCGTCATGTGCGCCAGTAGTGGAAAATATGCATTGTTCTAAACTGTTTAAAATTAAAATCACATAGATTTTAATCTAACAGAATGTTACAGCAAACTGGATATTGCGAAATTGATAAATATATAAATAGTTGTGTACACAGCTGCGCCACGGTTTTATCTTTATTACTAGCTGATGTGTCGAATAATTAATTACCCACTTATATAAAATTTGAATATTTCACTCTAGGTGTTGTTATTTTAGTTTTCCAGACGTGTTCCATCTGTTAATAGGCCTACACAGGCTCATGCTGAAAGATGGCTATTAACACTGAGTTACTTGTTTCGTAGATTCCCTCTGCCCGTAGCTGATGCTTACGTTTTACATAATAATTAATGTAAGACTTTTATCTTTTATAGCTTCAGTGACCTCACCTTCAGAGTGCACGAGTTGACCTATGTTTTATTCAGAATACTGTATCTCCTACTTAAGAAGTCGAGTAAGATAATAATATCCTGGACGCACGATTTAAAACCCATGTATGTATTTAATTTCACATGTAAAAACATGCTCCGAAATACTGACTTAAATATAATCAGAATTTAAAATGCACATTTTCCACAATACAGCTGCATACTGAGTCCTGCAGATGTATTATGTGTAAAGTTACCTACGAATGCTTCTCAGTAGAGATGACTGTTTCATTAGTTTCTGGAGGAAAACTTGGGTACTTCTGTCTAAAATCTCTTTATTTGCTGTCATCTTTTCATCTTGTCCTGCTGGTCGCAAAGTACAACCGGTTTGCTACAAGAGATAAATGTTCACCAATGAGCTATTGCTTGGGAAATCTTTAATGCATAACGCGATCTCTCTGCGGCATCACTGTAATAAATATAAAAAACTGGTAAATTTTAATGTATATCGTATTCAGATGAATGCCATCACAAATAACAAATTTAATTGTGTGAGTTTCAGTGTATTTAAAAACGGTCGAAGAAGAGTGCTTTCTTCTGTTCGATGTAAAGCTTCATTAATAATTTCATAATTTCAGGACCCCCACCTGAGTAACACTAGTCCCGCGTCTGCTAAATTATTACCAACTGCAGGAAATTAAAAAGAACGGGATGGCATAAGGCTCATACCAAGTTTCGTAAAAATATATCACCTGATTCAAACGCATACGGACAGCATGATGGTCTCATAATCTTACTTTAGTTCCCAAAGGCGGTAGGCTAAATACACGCTTATTAACTTTTTAGATATATTTGATTCCCTTATGTTAGAGGGATAGATGGTCTCCAGATTGTCAGACTTTGGTTCCAAAATGGCGTGGCTGATCACCTGAATAAAAATTTTGCTATATGAGGTTCTGGAGTGACCGCAGCGCCATTAAAAACACACTACCAAACCACTTCTGTAATTCATTTTATTGACCTCTAAATACTTGGCCACACGGTCAGGACTCAGTATTCCACGACGCTGTTTTATTCATCAGTCTACAATTTTACATTATTCATTCACATTAAATGCTCCTTCGGAAGTCGTCAGACCGATTACTTAAATTCGATTTATCACAGAACATTTATACTGAAACAAAAACATTAAGGCACTCGTGTAATATATCCGCTGTCACGATGACTGGACAGATGCATTTGATCGGAACCAGAAAAGATATTCTAATTTATACAGAGTCTTTAGTAGTTGACGTCAACCTTTGCCAAGTGACAAGGGGTACTCTCTGGCGGGCCTATTAATACAAACCTTTGAAGCACACTTGCCCGCTTAAGTGAATACCGAAGGAAATACTATAGATTAACTACTTCTTCTGTAATCTTACAAACAGATTAGTGTCAGTATGATAGCTGCTTACTGTTATCGTCGTGAAGTTTGGAATAAATTTTGTTTTCAGTATTCAATTCAATTCTTTTTATTAGAGTGCTGCATCAACAGCCAGTCGGCCAATTACAGATGCAGCACGACAAAACAAAGTAAATTCAATAATCATATAATAATAATTCTCCTTTTATCTGCTATCTTGTGGACACACAGTTGTCTGAGAACAATTGTAACTGGAAAGCACGATGCAGTGAACACGGTGTTAAAATAATTCTTCCACCAAGACGTACAAAATTCCAAATATTGTCATTTTGTCCAAGTGACTGAATACGTTTTTGGAGGTTGTGGTCCTTCCAGAAAATGCGAAATAAATA